TTGGTAACACTGCACTGAGAGAGTTTCAGTACTTACAGTTTTATCCATACTAAAAAAAGGAATCGCTTAACTGCACAAAGAGCCGGCAAAATAATGTTCGTAGCTCATAACAATAAATTATTACTACAAAAACAAAAAGTGGATATGGAGCAAGATATTCAACAACATGAAACTTTTCCAGAACCACTAGAACTCGTAGAGGTAGAGGTCCATCCGGAATCAGAACCAGATGATACATCAAATATATCTGATTTGGAAATAGAAACTGACGAAGACAGTACTACTACTACTATAATACCCTATGAAGATGGGACCAGCTCGGCGCCTGAAAGTATTCCGGAATAGAATAATTCAGTTATTTGTGTTTTACGTTTTTTAAATTTATATTTCGTGCTCTTTTTTTTAAGTTCATATAGTCCAATCAGCGGGGGGCTATTATAGGCCTCTGCCATACAAAAGGTGGTGTAGTAGTAATTTTTTAATATGTTGTTAAGGTTTAGGTCTTGATGAAAAATCCAAGTTTTTGTCCTTGGGGTGCGACCGCTCGAGCCGCCATCTTGAATTAAAGATACAAAAAACTGTATTTTTCAAAATATATCCCCAGCGGCTAATCTTACGATCAAAATGTTGGAATAAAAATTAGATATCGATATTTTTTCGATGTATCAAGTATAACGGGACACCGAAAAAAGGGCGGAACAATTTGGGTGGAGTAATAATTTGGGCGGAGGCAAAAAGGGCGAAGAATATTTTGCAGATAACGAAATTTCCGCCCAAATTTTTCCTACAATCTTATTTTTGAGCTCGTTGACCTTCTCGTTTTGTTGACAGCATTGGCACCGTCTCAAGGAAACATCTACCTTCGCAACTTGGAAGAAGATACCTTAGAGGGAATCCGTTACCAACGTTTTGCTAGATCAACCACAAACACTAAATCCAATCTTGCTTCATTGCCACCAATGAAGGATGCTGCGCGGTATCATTCTTTCAGGACATATCATCAAATCCAGAAATGGTATGGAATCGAGAAAAAAACTAAAAACCTAAAAAGACTGGGGCTGGAAACTGGTCAGCAATGGGCTTGTTCCACTCACCATGACAAAACAAGAAGCACCCGACAACTTATTGAAATTCATTTCATGCACTTGTAGAAAAGGATGCGGCGCAGCATGTGGTTGCAGGAAAGCTTGGTTGAAGTGTTCCGTTGTATGTGGCTTCTGCATTGGTCAGTCATGCGAAAATGTCCCGGAGGTTCACATCGACATTGAGGACGAAGATGATCAAGACTTAACAATGGAAGAGCAATATATTCCCATAAGCACCGATTACGATGACACCGAAGACAATACTCAAAACGTTATTAATAACCGACCCGGACCATCAAAGAAAAGAAACCGCTAATAAATCGCCATATCACTACCTTATTTTTCAGTTTTTTTTATGTTGTGCGTTATATTTCAATGAGACATATGAAGGTTAGAACATATTTTTTCGCTCCGTGGCACCGTGGCACTACCTCACCAGCCGTTGCTGTTTATACCTATGTAAAAAATTGCGAGAATTTTTGAAAAATGACAAAATTGGGGAGTTTTTCTATTTTTTTTAAAATATGTTCAAATTTTCGTCACTGTACCTTCTATTCAAGATGGCGGCTAGAGCGGTCTCACCCCAAGGTCAAAAATTTGGATTTTTTTATCAAGACACAAACCTTAACAACATATATAAAAATTCACAGATTTTGCAACATGCGCAACCATCATAGGCGCATTGAATATACCAGACACAAAAGTCGGCGGTGGTCGGCAATCATCTGTTTTTTTTAAACGTTTTTTTTTGACATGCACAAATTGTTGGCATTTTTTTAAACAAGTAAAAGTAGGAAATACATAAAAATTGTAGGTACTTTCAAGAAATATAGTTAACTGTAAGTGCTGTATTTTAATAATCTATCAAAAATCAAAATCAAAATCATCAGGATAATATTAGGTATTGATTTTCAGACAAGAATTAGATTACAGCGATGGTCAAAAGCATTAGATATTGCTTTGAAATCTACAGATAAGGTATGGCAGTTTCATTTTAAAGAACAAGGTGTTAAAGCTTATGATAAAATTGTCATCAGAAATACTGTCCACTTATAGTATTTACATATTTAAATATTGGAGGATGAAGTTCTACCTACTGCCTCAGGTTAATTTAAATTCTGAGTTGCAACAACAGCAACAAGCAAGAAGGGAACCATTAAATGAATTTTTGAAATGAATTTGAATTTTGAACCATAAATTTCTTTAGACTGAGAGATATGATATAACGAACATTTGAGCCTGTTTTAATATAATCTTTTCTTGGTAATTTACTCTAGAAATATTTTTAATTCACTGAATAGTACTGATAATAATCAAGTAAATAAAGACGCTCATGCCGCATGCAGTAAGTCTCTTATTATCTTTTTTCAGCTTACTGCAGCTTTTATTTATTTTTTTTTGTTAATACTATAATATTTGTATAGGTAAATTTATAAATAGTAAGAGGGTAAGACACTGTATAGGCAAATTTAACATGAATGACTTAAAAATAGCGCATCTAAATGCCATTTAAAACTTATCGATTTGAAGTCTAGGAATGTTAACTCCATACCAGCAGAAATAGCAAATGTTGAACATTTTAATGATCATTTTGTGGAATCCGTACCTAAATTACATGTAGACAATGATATTGTTTTGTTTTATGAACAAAACAATTTTGTGAACCACGACTTTAATTTTCGTGCAGTGGATGGTAGTCTAAAGATATATTAACATAAAAACAACCGCGGTAGGCATTGATGGACTAAATATACTTTCGATAAATTTATGTATACCTTTTTCTTTACCTATATATATATATATATAGTATCATATATATATATATATTATTAATATTATTTTATATTATATATATATATATATATATTATATATATATATATATATATATATTATATATATGTATATATATATATATGTTCAATATATATACTCATATCATAAATTTTTGTATACATAATTCTATATATTCTTTAATATGTGGAAGAGATCGTTGGTAGTTCCTCTGCCAAAAGTTCCATTAGTCGACTCTTTAAATCAATTACGACCAATAAGTGTATTGCCCACTTTTTCGAAGATATTAGAAAGAATATTACCTAACCAGTTAACTGCATAATCGACGCAAAAGTGTGTAGTTCCAGCAAAACAATCGGGTTTTAAAAAGGATTATGGCTGCAATACGGCATTGCTCAGCATTACGGATGAGATATTAGAGGCATGGGATGAGGGCAAATTAACAGTATTAGTTTTGTTGGACTTTAGTAAGGCCTTTGACACTTTAGCCATAAAACTTTTGTTTCAATTTTTTGCAGAGTGTTGGACTTTCAGAACAGGCTGTTCACTTACTCAAGGAGTTTTTAAAAGACAGAAGTCAAGTAGTAACTTATGGCGGTGAACAGTCTGCCTTCAAAGCAGTCACTAGCGGTGTTCCACAAGGCTCGATTTTGGGCCCTCTGTTATTTAGTATTTATACTAGCAATACGTAACTTGAAAGAAGTACAACAG